GTAGTCGGCCGAACAGGTACAGGGTAGCGAGTTCTACAACCATGATGTTTCATGATTATTTTTATATACAATTCCTACGAATGAATTTGTCACATATAATACGTTTTCATTCAACTGTATATATTGAAGTTATTTAGTGATATCGACTTTGTATGTTTATCCACCAATAAATACAATTGTATCTAACTTTTATCAATACAATCGTTAAAATTCAACTTACAAAATGATGTCGCCGCAACGCGCATTGAACAAAATCGCAATTTTTATAAATATCTGACATCTTGTTTTCTTGATTGATCATGCGTCTATGAAATATGGACTATGGTATGACACACATATTTTCATCATTTTGCTTCTTACTGCAATTAGGGGTGTAAGGGTGTTATTATTTTCTTTTTGTTTTCGGTTTAATAGGTTTTTTTACATATTAAAACTAATCATAACCAAACCAAATAAGGTTCAATTTCATTGGTTTTGGTTAATTCGGTTACGGTTTATTTGGTCCGGTTTACCGGTTAAACTGAATAAAATTTTGCATGTAAAAATAAATATTAAACTAAAAGAAAAACAAACTTACTCAACTTTTACCAAATGAAAAAAATACACTAATACATAAAATATTATATTCGGTTTTTCACGATGTGTTGTCTTAAAGTGTTGATGTAGTCATACAAATTCTAGAGACGGGTTAATATAGCTTTGGTGGAACGATAGAAAATCATCATTCATGTACAGTTAATTACAAACCACGTAGTCACGTAGATATTTTATAATCACATTTTATTGTTATTATTTGTTGAAATCAACTTGAAAACTATTACTAACAGTCCATTCCATAACATTTGTATCGATAGTCACATGCATTTTGCGTTTTAATGCATAATCGATGTAGGAACTACCCGTACAACTAACATGTAAGTATCACTATAACTAGGGATGATAAATATGTATCATGGAAAACCAACCAACATGTATACCAACCAAACCAATTATGTTGGTAATCAATATGTTTAGTAGCCAACAAGTTTGGCTAGTAATACCATACCAATTAATTAATAATGGTACAAGGTTTTAAATACCAAGGTATTACCGTAACAACCAATTTATTTTTCATATATATATATATATATATATATATATATATATATATATATATATATATATATATATATATATATAAAAGATTGTATATTTTAACTTTAAATGTATTTTTTTTGGAAATGCGAAATTTTTTTAGACCATTTCTTGATTTGTACGTGTCATCCTTGCGCAGGGCTCATGCTAATCTTTTCTGTATCGTTCCAATTTTATTGGACGTCCCCGAAGGGAAAACTTTAAATATATTTGATGGTTAAGAATTCAAGAGCTTTGATATTAACATTTACCGTCTAGGAATGTTTAAAGTTTAAACCCATATTAAAGTATCCCGTTTACTCCATTGTTAAGTATAAACTTATGGTACAAAATTATAAATCTGAATTTCCTTTCCAACCATTCACAAAACTCTTATTTACAAAAAAACACATGTATGCTTTAAGTGCATAATAACATATAACACCTAATTCACAAAACACTTGTACATGTTGGTATTTACCATCACCAACATGTACCAACCGAACTTACTGTTAGCCAATTAAGTTGGTACCAATTATATTTAGTACGGTAGTTATAACTAAAATTAAATACCAACTATAATTGGTACGGTATACGGTTTGGGGAAAAAAATGTTTGGTACCGTACAAATTTCACATCTTATTATAACTATCCAAAATATGTTTTGAAATGGTATTTTGAATAACTGTGGTATTTCCTCATACCTATATATTTATATAGCAATATCAAATTCTAACAAAAATAAAAGATAAGAAAAAAGTTGACAAAAAAAGTTAAGTAACTATAATAAAGTATGTATATCGCACAACGTGGTTATATATAAAATGTATAAGTTGTATAGACGTGCTTTCCATCAAGTTTTGAGTTTATTGGAAAAAAAAATCAATTTATGAAAAGAATTGAGTTATGGTCTAGTGATGGAATTTAATTTAATAGATTAAATGACCCATTTGAAAACCTAGTCTTAAACAATCAAAATAAATAAAAGATAAAATCATTATATAGTTTTTTTATTTATATGTGTTGTACGCTTAATTATTATGTTAATTTTAAAATCTTGAGTGTCAAAGACCATCTTTAAAAAAATTCACAATTACTATGTTGAGGAATATTGTATGCTATATGATTATCAATAATTTGGATATCTTGTATTTTTGTCAAACCATGTTATATATATTCCTTAAGTTATATTTTGACAATATATATGTATGGCACATCATAGAGTTGAGATTGACAGAATCTTTCCTCGAAAATTGGATTAAAAGAATAGTGGTTAATGGTTAGTTAAAAGTGTTTTTTTGCCGCTAGAATACGAGTATGACAATATCGTGTATTGGTGCACAACACCATAGGTACGTGGGTCTGGTAGAGATGCAAACGGGGACCTGTCCCCGACATTAATTTTCAAAGGGAAACAAAAATTTTCTTAGTGTTTGTTTTTCAATATATATGATTTAAGAATGCTCACTGAACAAACTAAGATACCATTCTCACTGTTTGTTTTTCGATATATATGTGCACATCTTTTAATTCAAACAATTGTTGAAAAAAAATACCAGTCTTATGAAACATAATGTGATTTTTGCATTCTTCGATTTAGAAGCATAACTTGAATACAATAAGCATGACATTATCACTAAAGTATTATATATATAAAAATCTGAATATTTTAAATGCAATGAGCTTGGTTCATCACTTGGATATTATATTTTAAACATTTGAGACTTCCATAATAAATCTTCTTCTTGAACATACATAAATCAAAATATCAAATTTATCTAAAAGACTATTAAGTAGGAATTGGGTAAACTATCATATACATATCAGGCTATGAAATAAATATTAGCCGAAGTGTCAAGTTTTTAAAAAAATAGTTAGGTTGATATTATACTGATCATCTTCTTATCTTCTTAAGTTATAAATGCAACTGATCATCTTCTTATCTTCTTATCTTCTTAGGTTGATATATAACCGGGTATTAAACGGGCAGATAGTGTCATACCCATCTCCGACCCGTACCCGCTTCGGGTATGAAAAATAATCCCCGCCCCCGCCCCATTACCCGTCAAGACGGGGAATACCCGCCTCGTTCGGGTCGGGTATCCGCGGGTACCCGAATCCGTGGGTAAAACTTGCATCCCTAACTCGGTCCGGACGAATTAACTAATTTGGTATATTTAACTTCTAACTACTAAAAAGCCGCACAATAAAAACCAGTGGTATATTTTAAATTGGTCTAACATATCATGTATAGGCTATGAAAGTGGTATATTTTAAATTGGTCTAACATATCATGTATAGGCTATGAAATAAATATTAGTCGAAGTGTCAAGCTTTAAAAAAATAGTTAGGTTGATATTATACAGGTTGATATTATACTGATCATCTTCTTAAGTTTTAAATGCAACACTAATAAAATAAAATATCCTAATAGTTTTTAATATATATATATATATATATATATATATATATATATATATATATATATATATATATATATATATAATCGGGTATTAAATGGGGCGGATAGTGTCATACCCATCCTCGACCCGTACCCGCTTTGGGTATGAAAAATAATCTCCGCCCCCGCCCCATTACCCGTCAAGACGGGGAATACCCGTCCAGTTCGGATCGGGTATCCGCGGGTACCCGAATCCGTGGGTAAAACTTGGATCCCTAGGGTCCGGACGAATTAACTAATTAGGTATATTTAACTTCTAACAACTAAAAAGCCGCACAAAAAAACCAGTGATATATTTTAAATTGGTCTAACATATCATATATAGGCTATGAAATAAATATTAGCCTAAGTGTCAAGCTTTTAAAAAAATAGTTAGGTTGATATTATACTGATCATCTTCTTAAGTTTTAAATGCAACACTAATAAAATAAAATATCCTAATATATATATATATATATATATTATATATATATATATATATATATATATATATATATATATATAATCGGGTATTAAACGGGGCGGATAGTGTCATACCCATCCCCGACCCGTACCCGCTTCGGGTATGAAAAATAATCCCCGCCCCCGCCCCATTACCCGTCAAGACGGGGAATACCCGCCCCGTTCGGATCGGGTATCCACGGGTACCCGAATCCGTGGGTAAAACTTGGATCCCTAGGGTCCGGACGAATTAACTAATTTGGTATATTTAGTTGTTAGAAGTATCGGGTATCAATTTAAGCCGAAATCAGATATCGACCATAGTGGGTACTTCTAACAACTAACCACCATGAGCGGCGGACGCATAAATACATAATAGGTGTTGCTAATACATGAAAAATTGGTAAAACAAAAAACTGAAATTTTTTCCACTGTGTACGGAAAAAGCAGGTGTTGCTGGTGCCACACTGGACCTGCCTAAAACGGCCACTGCTAACCACCCTCCTCCCTCCATCAGAAAACCAAAAACTGCCACCATTTTCGGATTTGCACACACTGCTGGAACCGCCTTCCTCCGCCATCAAACCCCACCAACCACCACTGTCTTCCGATCATCGGAGCTACCTACGCCACCTTCCGTCATCCGCTGAAAAACCAAAGACCGTCGTCATTTCGGATATGCACACACCACTGGAAACACGCTTTCCCTTTGCCATCAAAACCCACCAACCATCACTGTCGTCCGAACACCGAAGCTACCTACACCACCCTCCTTCCTCTGTTGGAAAACTGAAACCTCTTATCTCTCCCTTTCCATTTCACCACATCCCCTATCACCACTAGAAGCAACCACTACCAACTCGAGTCATCGCCGCCCTGCTCTGTGTTTTGATTTTCATACGGTGGTGGTGGCGGCGCCGCTGCCTCTGTTGTTTTCGTCGTAAACCCTAGTAGTTGCCGCCATATGTGTTATGCCTTTTGATTTTCAGTGGGTGGTGGTGGTGGAGGAGGCAAGTGGTGGTGGCGATTTCCAAGTTTGTTTGTGTTTTGATGGTGGTGGTTGTGGCGGCAGATGGTGGTGGTTGCTTCTGGGTCCAATCGGGTCAAGTTTGGACCCTTTTTTACCCCTATGTACCACTACACAACCAGTGGTGTACCACTATGTTACATTGGGTGTAACCCTACATTGCCCCTTGTCTTTTGATACAATTTTTTCCTTTGTCTCTATGCTTTTTGTTTCATTATCGCACCTCATTCTTTGTATCCATTTCTGCAATATGTATTTAGGCTTATCTTAGACCCTATTGAGCATATCTCAAATCCTATTTGATCTCATGTAAATCAGAATTATTAAACTGTGAACAAGAGTTAGTTTGCAAAGACATGTGCAAAAGATTGAGATTTTATGCAAATGTTCCAAAAGAGACTTTCAACTTCATACTATTTGAATTGATCATTAAAATTATAGAATTAATGTTAAATGAGTCAAATGAGTATGTTTTGTATATGGAATCAAAAAGGCCTGCCTTTAGTTTAGCAATATGGAATGAAAAAGGCCTTCTCCTATCTTACTAAAATTACTACCAAACTTTGTTACAAGAAGTTGCCAAACATCTGCATCAATCACTTGTCCACTTGAAGCAGCCATCTCAAGTACCTTCATCACTTCATCTTCCTCCCCTGAGTTACAAAGCCCCACAAGTAAGATATTATAAGTGCTTTTATTCGGTAAACACCTCTTCCCCGACATCTCCTCCAAAATCCTAACCCCTTCCCTTGCATTACCAACTTTACAAAACCCTTTGATTAACATGTTATATGTAAATGCATTAGGAACACATCCCTTCTCCACCATGTCATCCCACAACCTACCACCCTCACACAGCTCCCCCATCTCACACATACCAGCAATCAGGGTATTATAAGTTAAAACACTAGGAATCGAACTCCTTTCAAACTCATCAAACAACTTCCTCGCTTCCCAAATCTTCCCCTTTTTACACAACCAGTGTATAAGTGTACTTGATATGGCATTATCAGGAGTACAATTCTTCCTCAAGAGCTTCTTCCATAGATCACACGCATCCTCAACCTTCCCATTTTCACATAACACATCAATCAATCTACAACAAAGAGCAGAAGTCGGCACGTATTTCTTCTCAAACATATCATCTAGCAAATTCAAAGCTTCACCTGTCTTTTTGTTTCTGCAAAAAGCTTCAATCATAACCCCATAAGTAACATCATTGGGCTCAACTTTATTATCCTCCATCTCATCCATCACTCTCACAGCATCAACCAATCTCCCTTGCTTACAAAACCCATCCATCAAGATTGTGTAAGTGGTGGCGTCTGGGATCCAACCTCTATCCAGAATCTGATCAAACATCTTCTTTGCACCCACCATATCTCCTTTAAAAACATAAGCTCCCATTACAGTAGTATAACTCACAACATTCGGCACCATCCCCATTGCAGGCATTTCATCGAGCACCTTGAGTGCACCTTCTATATCACCCTTCTTACAAAATGCTTTTAAAAGAATGTTACAAGTAAACACATTGGGTGTGATATTGAACTTCTTTTGACTGTTTTTGAACAAAGCATGCACCAATTCGAATTTTCTGTTCTGAATCAAAACGTTTAGAAGGGTGTTTAAAGAACGTACAGATCTTGTGACACCAAAGTCCTTGATCCTCAAGAAGATGCGTAAGGAATCTTTTGGTCTGCTGGCGATTCCGTAATTACGTAAGACATCGATGAAAAGATTCTCCCCACACTTGATGCTTGATGATTTCTTCTGTAGCTGGGAAAGAAGGGTTTCAACAGGTTCAAAGGCGCGTGCACGAGAGAGTTTGTGGATGATAGAGTGGTAGGTTTCGTAATTATGTTCAAAGCCAGGGTGGTAGTTCCCAGCATGGTAGAAGATTTGGAGGGCAAGGTCAAGGTTTTGTTGGCGGGTGATGATGGAGACAAGGCGTTTGGGGTAGAGTTTTTGAGGCCAGGGTTTGATTGGGGGAGTAACTGTGTAAGATTTCAGGAGTTGGGATTTGGATTCGATAGTGGAGAGGTTGTGGTGTGAAGGGTGGGCAGCAAATGGATCCACAGCCACAGGAACAGGAGAGTTAGTGGTGGAGTAGTAGCAGCATGTGTTGCTCATGTGTTGATGGACTTTCCTGGCTTCCTTTAAGATTTGAGAGCCCTTCATCATCCTTCTCTTTAGCTCTGCAACTTTCAATATGCATGGGTTTGTTTCAGCCTAGGTATACCAGATATCTAGAGCATGTATTTTTGTCGATTCTTCTTCTGCAATCTGCAGTGTGTTTGTACTTGGCTTGGACTGGTTTTGTTGCTTCCTCACATAGTTGAAAACAAGGAGGTTAACTGTCAAACACAATGGCAACCAGAAGAATGAGAGAAAGAAATCCACAAAATCTTCAAACTATAGGCATGGATGGTGAAGCATCAACAAGCCTCTTCTAAAGCACCTTATAAGTATTTCAATTTCTATGAACAATTAATGTGCTTCGCAGATAATATTGGATCTTTTTCAGTTTGGTTTGGTGCATCCACTTCCCAAATCAAAATCAATCAGTGTCAAGTGTGAGTTAATATGACGATGATGAGAATTTGACATTTAAATCGCTCAGTTTCAACAGCTGTATATACGTACATAAACAGTATGTCAATAAACAAAATCAGAGTCGCTGATTTGTAACCTAATTTTACACCGTAAACATGATAACAACTCAAGAATCACGCTTTGGTTTGAACAGGGAAAGCAAAGACTGATAAATTGTATGAATCAATTACAAATTAAAATAACTTACTTACCGCTTAAGAAGCTGGAGCAGAGAAATTCGCCCAGAAGACAAGAAACGGAGGTCGAGGGACGAAGGAGTAGTCCCATACTCACTCTCATGGATATGGAGAAGAAAGCCCAGGAAGGAATGATGCTTTTTTAGAGAATCTGATTTTGGGCTTAAATTTGAGAGCCCTTAACCCTAGGGTTTTAACTGCATTCCTTTTTTCTTTTAGAAAACCATAAAAATGATCAATATAAGGGGTGTTTGGCTTAGCTTTTGAGAGGGCAAAAATCCTTTTAGGAAAAGTTGTAAAAAGTCAGGTTTACCTGACTTTTCCAAAAATTTCATTTTCCTTATATCTAAAAGTAGCTTTTACAAGATCTGTTGTTTTTACCAAACATCTTTTAGCTTTTTATTTTTTCCTAAAAGCTAAAAGATGTTTTAAAAGATAAAACAAACACCCCCTAAATGATTTTGTAATAGCTTGTACGAAATCACTGTCAAATAACTTACCTAATGGTCACTAATTTTTATTTTATTTTAAAGATGTTTTTGTCACCCAAAAAAAAAACTTTTTCAAAAATATTTTTAAAATAAAATAAAAATTATATAATGAAGTATACATTTATACTAAAAGTCTTCAAAACATGTATAATTTATAAATTTATTCAAGTACAAAATTATGAAAACTTATTAACATTTTATCGAGTTGCCAAATATTAAGTGTACATTTTTTTTAAATGCGTTAAACTTCTAATATAAATATTATGTAGTTGTTGTCAATGGGTCTTTCACCGTTTTGAAACGAACAAAAGGCCCAATCTGTTTTTCTATTTTAAATCCATTATGAAACGTACTCATTCGGCCCATTGAAATGATGATGGCATTCGATTTTTTTGGGATGTTTTTAATTAACTTACTTATATAATAATGAAGTTATATGATTTTATAAATATGCATAACGAAGCAAACTTTTAATCAATTTATGTAAAAACATTATCTTAACTTTTATCAAACTTTTGCTAATTTTTCCAATAAAGATATTCGGTAAAATTTTAGTAACAAATTGAAAAGCAAGGGAATAAATTCGTAAGAGAACTCTTTTCATTGCATATTTTGATAAAAACGTTTAACATTGTTCTATATATAGAAATGAGCTGAAAGGTGTCCAAATATCCTCAAATACTTTGAACCTCATGTATTCATAGATAGATAACTTTGGATTATAATTTGAATAATATACTTCTGTAATCATGTTTAATAGCTCAAATTAATAATATATATTAAAAATAATATTTATCAATCAACCAACTGGAATTTATATATTCTGATTCACAATGATAAATTATTCATTTTGACCCAATCTCATAGCTATTAATTATCCACCATCTTTGCCTCCTCAAAGAGTATGCTTTAAACATATTTGCAATATATTTCTTTCTTCGAGAATGAAGAAATAGAAGAGTACTAAATTACCTAATAAAAAAAAAGAAGAGAAGGAAGTCGATTGAAATTTACATGCAAGTTTAACCATAAGAATTATATGTTTTGATCTTTGCCCATCATATAAAGCGTTCATGACTTTAGTCAACAACCTTTATTGGGGTGTGAAGTCTTGAAAAGAAAGCTTTTCTGGTAAAGACCGGAAGATGTTCTCATCTTTCACATTTTATTCTTCTCGTGTCATCTCATTTTCCTCTAACTCTTCAAAACCCATGAAATGTTTACTTTTCATTTTTCCTCATTTTTTGTTTTAAAATATATATATATATATATTTTATATCAATATTATACTCTTTTTGTAGAGAATCAAAAACCATAAATTTTAATTTATTTTTTATAGCTTTTAGTATATATATAATCTAATCGAATATTATAAAAATTGAAGAAGAAAAAAAAAACAAATACCATTTTTAGATGTTCCTAAGCGCACCTAGGGTGTGGTGTTCCCTAGTGCGGTTCTTGTCCTAGTCAACACCCTGTTATGTGCGATTTTTGTTATAGTCAGCATCCTACTATGTACGGTTCTTTATACACATTGTCTCTCTTTGGTAGCAGAAAGCTCTCCTAGTAAGAGAAAATTCTCTTTTGTAACATAAAGCTCTTATGGTAAGAGAATCTTCTCTTTGGTGGCAGAAAGCTCTCCTGGTGAGAGAAAGTGATGTTGGAGCTAAGAATGTGTTGGTATGGATCTTTTGGAGAGTTGTTGAACGTGCTATGATACATGGCATGTGCTCATACACATCCTTCAACGTTGAAATTTTTGTAAGAAGTTGCATGGTGTTCTATGATGACAATTATGTCATCTCCTTCATGAGCTAATTATGGATGAGACTAGCATATCAGAATTAAGGTTTCTCTTTCTTGTCTATAAATAGGCACACATCTCTATTAACATTCTTGGGCATAAATTTCAAGAGAGTAAATCATTAAAAGGTTGAGAGCACATCCTTTTGAGTAGTTTGTAAGCAAGAAAGATTGTTTTGTTTTGAGAGCTCAAGTGAGGTACAACATTTGTAAGTGATTGTAATTGTTCTTGAAAGTTTAATAAAATCATATATCTCTCGTTTGCCTATGAAGGTAGGTTACTTTGATTCATTAAGAAATACCTGAAATGTTTGCTTTAAGTTGCGTACAAAACCCCGGAAAAGAACATTCATTCATTTCTTTCTTCTCCGTCGACCACAACGACAGAAACGACGTGAAAAATCCATACTTGGAAATGGAAGGGCCAGTGGTCGGCATTTGGGAAAGTCGACCGAACCACGTTAAATATTGTCTTTAGTTTTTTATTTCAAAATTCAGAAGTTTTATTCCGCAAATTTATCGAAGTTCGTTTATCGCTTTGTCTAAAATGTTTAACTTGTTATTTTCCAACAAACTTGTCACAATTATTATATTTATCTTTTTCATCTTGGTTGTCCTAATATCATTTGTTGATGACATTCAAGAAGAAGATTACCCTTAACAAAGATTGTGCTTTAAATAAATATGCCACATTTCTCTGACTATGGAGAAGTTGAAAATTACCAAATTACCCAAAAAGAGATGAAATGGGAGCAAATAGTTAAAACCATAATGTAATTTTAACCAGAAAAGGATGAAAGAAGCTTACGGATATGCAAATATAACATTATTATCTTCCTAACATATATAAAAGCTAGTCTTTTAGATTCGCTTATATTCACTAGGTTTTAGTTTTCTGCCATAAATAGAAAGCCTACACCATGAAATTTTGCACATTTCCACCAATTTATTCCATATCGTGTCGTCAGTATCTCTTTCTATTGCATTGATTCCTCTCCCCACTTCTTTGATGACTGCCTGCAAACCAGAAGATGAAGCAAATTAACACACATTGTTATGTTGTCAAATATTTAACATAATTTAACACTCAATTTGATAAAAAATTATTCAGTTAATCTAAACAAACGTCTCTCTACTTACAAAAATAGAAATTAAGTTGTCTTTTATTGATTGACCAAGTATAAAGTAAAATTTAAGAAGATACACGTAATTAATATGCATTCAACCCAATTGAAGTATAAGTATACTTACATTGGGAATGAACTTGAGTCCAATTTTGATTTCCCCTTTGTAAGTTTCATCATCAAGAACCACATTGTATGGTTTTGGTGCCACTTCTATGAGTCCTTTCTCATTTCCTTCAACAAGTATTTCTTCAAGATAAATCCTAAAAGGAGATTAATTTGGAAAAGATATTCCAATCTCAATCAAATATTTTTATGAACATAATTGCGATATATAGAAATTATTTATTTGTATATAGTATTGAAAAGATAGTTGGATGTGCATTTTCAAAATGACCATTATGACATTGAAGAACATGAAAATTAAAAGAATCATAATTAATATGATAATTAGTTGTAACATAAAAACTAAACTTAGAATTAATCACGTAATTTTATATTTACCCTTACAAAAAAGGTTTTGTTTGCATGTTTCTCACAATCTAATTCTTCAACCTCTAAAAGCATTACAAGATCAAACAATCCTATATTTTTTCCCAATAAAACGTAAAGGTGAATTGATCAAGTATATATTAAGAACAAATATGTCAAAAGTCTTAAAACTTTGTTCAGAAAGTAATTTTTTTAGGTGAACAATATATTGTAAAAAAACAATATATATATATATATATATATATATATATATATATATATATATATATATATATATATATATATATATATATAGGGTTAGGTTCATGTGAGACGACTTAATTTTGTGAGACCGTGAGACGCAATCTTAGCCACTCATTTAGTAGATAAAACAAAAACCTTTTTAAAATGCAAAATAATTGAAAATTTTCGAAATTTTTTTTTTCCAATATTATTTTCGCAATATATATTTTCCAAAAAAAAAATAAAAAAAATAAAAAATAAATAAAAAAAAATACATTTTTTTACATATTTTAGTAGAATATTTAGAATATTCTACATATCTGGAAAAATCTAGTAGAATATTCTAAACATTCTAAAAATCATATTAGAAATGTACAGTGTAATATTCTATTAGAATATTTCACGTATTTTTAAAAAAAAAACGGTAATTTTTTTTTATTTTTTTTAGTTAAATAAAGTTCCGAAAATAAGAATTAAAAAAAGAATTTTTTGATTTTTCCTTTTATTTTGCATTTTATATATATATATATATATATATATATATATATATATATATAGGGAACAAAAATGAATGATTTACATATATAGTAATAGATAAGATATTACTTGGCTTCGCCAACAAATCCAGTATCATTTGCAAATAACTCTTTATCCATGATTCTCAATCTTAAATGTGTCAACTTCTGATATTCAGACATTGACAACTCAAAGTTGAATTTCTCGTTCCAAGAAACTTTGTGATGATCGCCCTTTGATGATTTGCTTTTATTCTGTTGAATCCCACATTCGATGATGACATAGTACTTTGGTTTACCTTTAAAAGTTACACATATATGTGAAATCAAATGTGTGTAAAAGATATATAAACATCATTGTTAGCAACAAATCAAACATCCAAATTGGTGAGTAAAATGAAGTATACCAATGAGATTGGTGTGCCTAATGCCTTTTGCACTCTCAAGAAAAACCTCCAAGATCCCACCTTTCATGAGAAAGATTATGTTAAGAATAGTTGTAATGAAAATGGGATGAGAAATTGAGAATATCGATCCTACCGTGTGTTTGAAAAAGCTAATATAAGATTTCAAAAATGATGTAATAAATATCTTAATTATGACTTGTAACTTATTAGTTATTAATGGTAAAAAACCATGACAGAAAAAATATATTATTTAACGACATTAGTTCATTTTTATGGTGTTAAAGTTAATAATGGATATTAAGACAAATTTTAATAAACGTATTCTAGAAATCAATATTTAATTATGTATATATATCATACAATTACATGATACGATAGTGTTGCTTAGGATGTTATTCAAGAACCGAAATTGGATCAAACTGGATCGGAACCGAATAAACCGGAAAATATATACAATATGCTTAAGGATCAAAATGAACCAAAAAGACCGAATAAACCGAATAATTTGGTACTTTTTTATTATTATTATTATTATTATTATTTTAACTCAGGGGATGTTTGGTGCCTATCATAATTAACTTCAATCAACTCTTTTATATTTCTTATACACAAATATGATATATAAATAATTAATACTCAAAATTTACAACAATTACACGAAACGTCTCCTCGAAACCATTTAATATATTTTTTAATATACAAAAAAGTTATATTTAAATGTAATACGTTTACGATTGAAAATTTTCAATCTCTCTCTCTCTTCTCTCTCTCTCTCTCTCTCTCTATATATATATAATATATATATATATATATATATATATATATATATATATAGATATAGGTTCAAATGTTTCTACTATCTATTGTGTGCATGTAGGATTGATTCTGGACCAATCATTTTAGTTATTTTAAGAAAGTAATTAATGCATATTAAATGCTGAAAATTTAATTAACACCCGTTAATTAATGCATATTAAATGCTGAAGATTTAATTAGCACCCGATATATCTTCAATGTGTAATATGCATTAATTATTTTTCTTAAAATAACTAAAATGATTGGTCCAGAATCAATCCTACATGCACACAATAGACAGTTAGAACAAAATAATCTAACTTTTTATATATATATATATATATATATATATATATATATATATATATATATATATTCATTTTTACTAATGCAAAATAACATAAAAATTATTTGTATTTCCGCTACTTGGTACTTATACCTTGTGATAAGAGTAAATTTAAAAACCCTAAGATAGCTTATTTGGTCTGGTTCCTTTAGAACCGAATAAGCATTTATTCGGGTAAACCGTACCGAAATACCCGAGAACCGGATAAGTCTAAAATACAAAATCGAAAACCGAAACGAATAGCTTATTGATCCTAATTCGGTTCGGTTCCAGTTCGGATCCGATTATGATTCAATTATTCGAACCAAACGCTCATCCCTAGTTTCGTTGGGGGAAAGGTCTAGAAAATGATACTCATGATGGTGAAAAGGGTATCCCAAGAAAACCGCACTGAATAGTGCTAGTGCATACGATTGATTTATAAAGGTGTTGAGGTGTGTGTAACACATGCATCTGAAAATGTTGAGATGAGTGTAAAAGTGGTGTTTGTGAAAAAAATTGAAAATACGGGTTATGTTTGTGGTCATACAGAGATCTTAACGAGATAGGGGTAGGGAGATGTGTATGAAACGAGAGTGTGCGAGTAACATTATTTATGCATTATTACATTTGTTCGCATTTATCATTTTGTTGTGAAGTGTGTGGATAAAAAAACAGGAAATTGACTTAGTAGGGTAGTTATATTTTTCGTTTTGTTCACATTTAGGTAACTTCTTTTTTTCGTACACATGTAGGCAATGAACTTATTGGAATTGTTCGAATATGACCATTTTGACCGACTGTAGCAAGTTACAACTTACGTGGTGTAAACGTGGCAAAGATAATTATGCAAAAGGGTAATGAACTGTTGGTTTTGTTCACACCTAGGCAGTTTCCTTTTTTGCTCACATTCGACCATCCAACTTGTTGAAGTTGTTCACATTAAATCGGTAGTAGAAGTTGGGAAAATCAAAGGTTAGGTTTAGAAATTAAAGTCAGTAGTTGTATATTTATTTTCTTTTGTACAACCAAATTATATTAGTAAAGTGATTGGAGTTCATTTTTAATCTTCTTGCCGAATACACATAACTTATCGACATCATAAGGTGAAATTTTAACATGGTCTAAGTACTGTAACGTCCCAATTTTCACAATAAACTTTTCAGTTTTTAATTAAGATAAAATACCATTTTTCATAAACCAAAACCATTAAAACCATTTGTTCTAAAAGAAAAAAAAATCCCAAAATCAGAGTATGATAAACAAACGCGGAATCACAAAGTACAAAAGCTGTTGATGAGTGTGTACAGTCACGCCTTCACATTCCCGTGATCATCTGAAAATTCTGAAACATTTAATCCAATTGTAAGCCAAATCTTAGTGAGTTCTCCAAAATACCACACACAACAATATACAAACAAGCATACAACCAAGGCTCTCGGTACCGAGACCAATCTGCCTAACCAAGTATCGAGTTTCTAGGCTCACAACACTTATGTTAATCTTGCTATCAACCCCTAGATATGAGTATCTATACTCACAACACTTAAGTTGATCTTGTCATCAACTCCTAGACATGAGTATCTATACTCACAACACTTAAGTTGATCTTGTCATCAACTCCTAGATAAATATATGAAAGCATCATATAAACAAATGCATATCACACAACAGACTAACTAGTCTGCACATACAAGCGTAACCTAACAATACATCTATCGTAGCATACAAGGACACATATTGTCACACATAGTATAGAGAGAAAACTCACTTAAAACACAAGTTGATGGATAAACACTCAACGACTCTCCAAGACAACTATATGAACCTCCTAACCTGTCAAAGGTCAAACCTGAGTCTACGAATTAAAACCATCAGGTTGACCAAAAGTCAAACCGGTCAACAACGGTCACCGGCCACCGCGCCGCGACCATCTCCTTGGTTGCGTCACGGTCGCTAAAGTTTAAAACAGTTGTGATTGGATCTCACGGCTAGCAACAATCCGCGCTGCGAAAATGGCAAAACAACCAACTCTCATTTAATCCTTAATCCTTAAGGACAAGAATTCCAAACCGCATATCTGATTCTCTTAAAGGACTTAATGTTTTCTTCCATGATATGACCGATCCATATTCTCTTCATGCTCCAATGCTCCAAGCTCCAAGCTCCAAGTTCCAAGCTCCAAGCTCCAAGATCCAAGCTCGCCTCCATAGTTCTAATGCTCCAAGCTCCATAATGCCTACAAAATTAATCAAAAATAGTGAAATACCTGGCATTCCAATGCTCCAAGCTCCATAATGCCTACAAAATTAATCAAAAATAGTGAAATACCTGGCATTCCGAATAAAACATGCAAGTGCCTAAATAATTAACTAAATGCAAAAATTATGAAGTAAAATGCAATGAAAAGATAGAAATAGACGTGAAAAATAGGTGCATAAAATGCACCTATCACCTCCTATTGCGTATCCACCACATAATCAAGGAATCCGTAGCATCCGTGCTGAATATATCTCCTAGCCCTCGCAGATGAACAGACTGATGGTCTACGTTGAGCACCCTCTCCACTAATAACCAGTTCTCCCTCACGTAGGGTTCGAACTCTCACCAACTGATGCTCACAATCAATAATAGCCGCATTGGGGCGCAACTAGTCCATACCCACAATAATCTTCGACCCTCGCATAGTAATCGACACCAAATCAATCGAATATCTCTCGCTGAACATATTCAAAACACATCCATGATGAACCCTTGAAGCACTAACTGAACGATCATCGACAATATCTACCTCCAACGAATAATCCAAAGTCCTTGGAGTGTCGCTAAACTTCTTGATAAGCGCAAGAGACACAAACGATCGGGTAGCACCCGAATCGAACAGAACATGAGCATTCATACCATTGGCTAAAAACGTCCCCATATATGATCAGATAAGACATAAGCATAAATAAGGAAAGCAATAAAATATATGGTAAAGATACATACTCGTAACTGTTGGATTTAGTGTCTAAGCTCATAACTATAACCGGGATGTACTTGACCCGATTGTAGCATGATCCTTTTGGGTTGCCTTCACCAGTGCAATTTGATAGAATGGACTTTTGAGAATAAGGTTATTTATGATTTATTAATATATTACAAGTATAATATATTAATATGAAATCATATTATTTAATTAGTATTGATCAAGAATTAGTTTGGAATTAATTTTGTGATCAAAAGAGACTAATTAAATATATGAGGATTAATTTTGTAAATCAATGATTCAATAGTGAGCTAATGATCCATGGTTATTTAGGATGGGCTAAACCAATGAGATAATCCACAGATAGTCCATGGAGGTTAACCCATGTATCCTAAGTAATATGAAAGGTCATTATGGTTTACAAAGCGTAACCCTAGCATTTGCCACACTATAAATAGAACCCTCTATAGCCAAAATCGGTTACACCATCTTGCCACAAGTTTCTTGGAGAGTGATATTGATTTTGTGCAAGTAACCTATTCTTTCAAGCCTCCTCTTGAAAACTGGTGTTTGTGAACCATTAGAGGCATCACACTTGAGGTGCTCAAGCTTTCAAAGGTCAAGAACTACAAGTCCTTCTAAGAGGTAAGTAATCTAACTAGTGTATTGTTCATTTGACAATTTGTATTCTAGTTACGAGAACGCTTTGGAAAAAATTGAAAATGCATGTATAATTAGAGAAAACATAGATCCAAAGCATTTAGGGTTGCATGTGCACCATAGGAGTGTTATAATGCTCAAAACCCAACAGTGGTGTTGGATCTGCAATGAAGAAGGACACTACGCCAATGAATGTCCAAATAGAAAAAAAATACCCAGACAAAGTCAAGGTTTTACAAACCGCTAACAATGGGGGCTATGAAGCTCTTGAAGAAGAGTATGATGGTACACAACATGTTTTTATATATCATGTTGAGAC